CTGTTAAGATTGGGCGTAACCAGTCTGACAACTGCTTATTCAAGGAATTTGACGATGTCACTGTGATGGTGAGCAGCCGATCAGTGGTCTAGAGGGGTATCTGTGAAATCAACCCAAAGCGACATTTGTGCTATGCCCAAACCATTGCTTGAATATTTCTTGTGTACATGCACTCTCTGCGACGGTTAACTCTATTGATGCAGTGAATTAATTATGCTAGTTTATGTTTGCATCTACGTGTCAATGGAACGTCGCGATGCAAGCGACCCGTCTAAGTATTAAGTGGGCTGTGAAATTAACACACTGCAAATTTGATAGGGAGTAAATAGTCGAATATCCTCACTGATCTAGAACATCTCAAAGAAGCTAAAAATGCAATCACAAGATTAGATGCTTCTAGGTAGTTCCATAGTTTAATGGTTCAATAGTGTATGATGGGATGAAAAGCATAAATTCGCAAGAGCAGTAGGATGGATATAAAAAAGAAAACTATCATCAAAATCTTCCCTACTGGAACGCGAAATATCAGTGGTTAAGCCATGGCACTTTATCAGAATGTTGTGTAGCGTATAGCTCTACGATGAAAGTCTAAAAGTTTCTCGAAGGTCGCGATGTCTGGTGTGTTCACCGCATATGTTGGTAGTGCATTCCAATTGGAACAGATTGGAATTGAAAAATCCTTGATACAATTCAAACGGGAGTGTAGCATCATTAGTTTCAGGTGGTTGCCTCAGCATTTTTTGTAAGGTGCCAGGGTTAGCAGTGATGTGCATGGGTGGCCACTTTCAGTTAATATCCGGTACCGTATTTCCGCTTCCCTTGTTTCTGAGTCTTCGAAGATCTGTTCTCTTATAAATCCATGCTGCAGAGAAATCTCGTCAAACAAAATGGCTTGATCTATAGAAACGTTCTATCAAGATCGGAGTGTTGACCTTGTACCTTCTTCAAAATAGAGTGAACCTAGAAATCAATGGATACAAAGTACTCTGCTCCGAAATAAGGATAAGTACGGAGCTTACAGACCGTCGAAAAAAGAAATTGATAATGGAATATTGTTTGGTTCATCGATGGGATTTAATTCCGAGTTGAAACGAAAATATTTTCTGTCACAGACAGGTTAACAGAATAAATATGTCTTGGAATTCAGCAAATTCATGATTTGCAGTTAACTATGCTTGGTACTAAATATCATTGCCCGATTTAGCGAAGTTGAGTAAGGTATAAAAATAGACGATTTCCTAGCCAAAAAAGCGATTGCAGCATTTTGTGAAGATCTGTGTGTGACAACATTTATGGATCATTTGAACCTTAGGCTTCATAGAAAAATTTCCCCTTGGGAAACCTGCATCGAATATTGTGAGCACGCTAAGCGTCCTCTTAACCCGAGATTTGGCATTAACAGCTATTGGCACCTTTTTCAAAGCTTAAGATTAAAACTCTATGTCTAGTTGCTAGACTGCTGAGATTACATACAAACATATAGTATTATAATTAACTACCTCCGATCAGCAAGGAGCTGAACTAAATTCACGGGCTCGCCAGTTCTTTACCAAGAGACAGAACTTGCTGATGGAATGATCCTAGGTAGTGTTATCGGTAGTATTGCCGCGAGTAAACCAAGAAAATCTTTGCTTGAAATTGCTGTAGACGTGTAGTGTAAAATTACAAATATTTACATGTAGAGCAGCACTCTAAAGTCAGATCTTTGCATGCTAGTTTTTGAACTAAGATGTTGAAAAACTGTGCACAATTAGGCGGGTTGACCGATTTAAAATACCAAAGGCAAGGGACATTTTACCACCAGCCTGTATGGCAAGAGAAGTGACCACGCCAATGCCTGCAACCAAACTCTCTTTCTGAATTCTGTAGTGCTTTAACTGAGTTCATGGTGATAATTTTTTGTTTCCTTTAATGTACGGTTTAATCCGAAATTTAAAAATAGTCGTCGACGGAGCGAAGCACCATCTAACCAACTGGTTTGATCAATTTTTAACCATCTCCCAGATAACAGCGACCAAAATTAGTTATTGTACTAACTTTATTTAGGGAGATTTAGATATCCGACTCCGATACAAAACATAAGTTGATGCCTAAGTAAGCCTCACCTAGTTTCGCATTAGATACAGACGGGTTAGGAACATGAACTACCCCGGAAAGCTTGTGCATTTTATTCCTGAAAACCTTGTCATTAAGGGAAAAGTGGCAATGAGCGTTATGTTGCCTACCATCTAATGTTGAGCAGTGGTAATAATTTTATACGGGTTAAGAAGCGCTGCTTTACAAACCCCGATGGGTAGTCTGGTGGGTTACGGAAAAATATTAATGAAAAAATGCCGTTAGTAGTTCCACTTGTAAAGGAATGGGCTTATTGCATGTAATGTACTAGCCCTGCACTCCGAATGTTTTCATCGTTCCAATGGGTGAAAAAGAAATCCAACTGGTTTTTTAAAATCTTTCTGAAATTATGAATTCTCGATCGGTTCCAAGTATTTTTCAAAATTTTGAAATCCAAGTTATTTTTCGGGAGTAGGATAGATAGTGGCGTCAATTAAGAAAATGTAAACAGCGGAGTGCCTCATCCAACCGAGTTTAAATTTGGCTAGTGTGGGCGCAGAAATAACGGATTCGGGGAGAGCGGTGCATGCTTAGCAAACACACCAATGGAAAAGAAATTTCTATGACCCACCAGATGGCTTTACTATTCTGCTAATTTCAAGGAGTGGCCTCTTGGCTTGTTGTTACTGCTGAGTTGCAGTATCACAGATCACACACGATTTGGATTGTGTGAAATCAAGTACATTATAATTAAGTCGCTTCCTAGTCGGCGGTACCACCTGCTGAATATTCCAATAAGTTCCAGCTCCTGCTCGTATGGAAGATGGCGCATTCCAAAGAGGTATTTGGAAGCCCGACACTGTGGTTGGTCCACTACAGTAAGGTCGTGCTTCAATGATGGATGTCTGACTTGAACGGCGTATTCGACATGGGGGAGAAGATACGCATTCAGCATTAGTCTAAAAATACTGGTGTCTAGTTGTCCGAAAGCCCATCATAGGAAGCCGACATGCATGTTACAAGTTTTCGATGCGGTTGGAACAACTTAAGTTATCCTGAAAATGCTCGCCAAGGTCGCTTTCGACGGATGATCGCTGCAGTACTTGCGTTCCCAGCCTGTATGAATAGGTACTGTGGTGTCGTATTGAAAGTACTTTGCATTTGTCCACGTTGTACTGTAGTACATTTCGGGTCGACCAATCATGCACCGTATCTAGATCACACTGAAGTAAATGCTGATGGGCATCCGCCTGAATCCGGCGCCATATCTTGATATCGTCAGCAAACAACACCAAATTTGAAGCCATTTCCGCACAACATCACTTATGAATGCCAAAAGCAATCCTGGACCTAGAACTGGGCCTTGGAGCACAACACATTCGACTGGTATGGGTTCAGATAAGAAACTTTGGACTCTGTCCACTAATTGTCTTTGCAGAAAATGGTGGCGATCCATCTCAAGAGAGGGTCACCAATCCAGTGATATTGGAGCTTGGAAAGAAGAATCCGATACTTCAAACAATCAGATGTCATTTACAAATCCAAGTAGATCACATCAACGGCCCCCAGCGTCAGCTGCCTCTGTCCAACCAAGCCGTGCGTTTAAGAAATCCGTTTTGCGCGATTGCTGTTGACTAAATCCGTGTTGCTCAGGAGCAGTAATTTTGCAATTTTCTAGCTAAGGCACCAAGGCATCGGCAAAGATGGAATCCATGAGTTTGGATACAATAAGGAGAATAGACACTGGACGGAAGTTTGACGGCTCAGTCTTGCTTCCGCCCTTGTGAATCGGAGTTATTGTTCCAAGTTTCCAAATCGCAGGAATCTGGTTATGGTCATAGCAGCGCGGGAGGAACTGTGTCAAAGGTTTTGCCATTTATCTTGCTGCTGCTCCCATCGCCTCAACGCGAATGGTGTCGACTCCCTGGGAGCTGTGTTTGCCTAGCTATGTCAACTTCTGCGATACAGCTGCGGCAGTAAAAAGGACGTGTGTAAGTACTGGAGGCGAGAAAACCCTCTGTAAGGTGAGAGTATGTAGCGTCCGCAGCGCGTTTGCTGCTTATGTGGCTGTTCTAGTTGAACCATCAGCAATCTGGAGCGGAGGAATTCCCTACTTCATCTTACGATGGCCACTGACATAGTTGTACAGCAGTTTGTGTCTAGCGCTGAAACTTTTCACTATATTTTGTTGATATGTGGCTGTGTCATCTCTGAGCATTTGAATGCAGCGGTTAAGATGGGCTACGTAGTTGTCCCAGCCATTAAGCATTGGTGATTATCTATACTCTCGCCAGGCTGCGTTGCGTACACTCATCCATTTTCTAGTCCTGCTCCCCACGAAAGGAACGGTTTTAGGCCCACTGACTACCTTTGTCTCTAAGGCATCCGTAAGCAGTTGATTACATTTGCTGACGAATTCATGACAAGCGACTTCCGGGTGGCCTACGAATGAAGCATAAAGCAGGATAAATGAAACGAGTCAAGTCTTCAGTCTGTCTGTTTTCTTCGGGAATACGTCACCACCGGTTTGCAGCGGCAGGAACTTGGAAGCAAAACTAAAATGGTCTTGTTAGATAATCCGTAACACTTAGTAGGTGGGTACAAACGAGTTCTGGCACATTTTTTCGCACAAACGCACATCTGGTCTCTTTTGTTAGCTAGTGAGGGACAAGTTGAAATACAGTTGAATCAAATGCAAGTGTTTATTAGTGGGAACGTGAAGTTTTGATGATCCCCGTAATAACGGAGCAACCATGCGTTGCTTATCTGTCCCGTCATGGTCAATTTGGCCCACAACGTTCGACCACCTCCGAGGCCGTCCCCATTAATACCTTATTTCCGATGTCTCAGTGATTCTCCCTATCCCCAGTTTATCCACTTAATCGCTTCCGTCGTTAGCATTGAATTGGTGTACTAGGGTGCTTTTCCGGGTGTTTTCGTTTTAGACCCATCAAGAAGTCAAAGCACCCCTATCAACTTCTCGATCGACGACCCGCTCAAGAAGGAACGCTTACGGGATTCATCCTATCTTTCCAGTACCCATTGAACTTGAACATAAAGATAACCAGGATTCATGCCCACATGGTCACGTTGTGCGATTATCAGTTAGTCGGTTGCTTGGTGATCGCGTTAGGCCCGCATATGAGCACGCTTGATTACGTAGACATCGCACAAAGTGCAACGTTTTGTTCACTCGGTTGCTCACAAAGTCGGTGTGCTTTCAGTTGACATGGGTAGGAAACTACTCGCCTTGAAATTTTCTATTTTGTCTGAATAAAAGTAAACTCACAATCCCGATTTATTCACAGACACCTAGGCTCTTTAAAATGTTTGAATACAGATAACACGGGTTAACGAATCAGTTGTTCATTTGTTCCACGAGTTTGGCAGTTTGGCTGCAAATCTTTTACCATACCATGCGCGGTGGAATCGAGAGCGCAGTGGTATGCGGGGTACAAGCTTGCTGATTGAATGGTCGATCCGTGATCGACGTGCAGGTTGTTTTTGAAACTGCTAGCTTTGATCTGCCTTTCGTGATCTTAACCCAGTTTCCCGGCGATTGAATTCAGCGTTCGAGTTGTTCCGGTTGTCCTAGTTTAAGAATCATTCCGATTACTTTCCGCCGGAAGAATTTTCGGAAGCAGCTAAAATCAGAACAACTAGATCGCTATTGGTATAGAAGCACACAAGTTATGATTCTTGAATCAACAGACTCAGTATCTAAATAAGAACAAGCAATGTCTCACAAAGTGTTGCCTTAGTCACCAATCAATAAGCTAGTATCCCATCTGGCATAATCAAATTTGAGGACTTGTATCTGAACTGCCTGTTAGTCTAGGAGATCAGCAGCCGATTTCAGTAAACATATTCAAACTCACTCCCAGCGTTACTAACGCAACCAATGTATTACTAGAGAATAACTCCAGTTGGGATGAGAATATTTTAGAACACTTGCTGAAAACGAGGCAAGAGAATATGAATGACTAAAACCGAGCCCGTCAATTATGCGAATATCAAGCGTTCAATGTCCGAAGACAGTGGGGACTAAATGCAGCATCCCGCTTGACTGCAATAGCTGTGCTGTCCATATACAGCATAAAAGATATCGCCTCCTATTTCCACATCTTGTTTGGGTTTGTTTTCACCTGAGTACTGCTCAATGCAAAACATGTTGTATACTTTCCACGTTTATTCATGCAGCTGTGTCTAATGCCTTGAGTACTTCTGGTCGCATGATTCCCTACATAGATAGACCGAAGTGTTGTTGCTGTGCATGTTGACGGATTGTGGGCCGGCGCCATTGATGAAACGTAGCTCGCATATACATGCCTCCCGGTCTTATTGCTTCGGGTTTACATTGGATTTAGGGTGTGTGAATGGATCTGTGTGCGGTGCAGCGCAAACCACCCATAGTCGCTCTGTAGGCCATGGCTGTGCTATGGAGGCCACAGTGATAGGCAAAGCCGGAACCGTATGCTGCCTTCTCCGTAGACTTTGGCCCACTTCAATGTTTTTTCAGTGCCTGCAGCGATGTAGACGAAATTTCCCAAGAGAATGACTGGCGTATCTAGTATTTTTGGGGTGTTTTGCTAATCCCGGGTTTTAGTTGCAAGCCAGGGATTTCGTTGAACCCGAACAATATTCATCTCAAATCTTGTCAACAGAGACATAAACGTCTCTGGTTGGAGCGCATTAAATGCATCTTAAATAATGTCTACTCACATCGGTCGTTTGCAAGTTCAAATTCACAATGTTGTTTAAGTTCGAGCAGCAGAATCCCACCCGACCGAGTAGATATCACACCCAGATTTTCATGCCCATGCCGCCCCTCCCTATGCGGCACACAGCGAGCATTTTGGGCCCTGAGTATTACAGTGTGGGTGGTTCATTTGTGATGATGAGAGACATATGTATATCGTTCTCTCGCATCAATTAAGTATTCATCCCGATGATGGTGTACTGTAGCCAAGTATGCTAGGATAATCCATTGATTAACGGATGAGCGACAGAACGTTAATAAAACGAAAACTAGATCGCCGCTGCTAATCGTCTATAACATCTGCTTTAACTGGAGATGTAAAAGCTGGGACACAGGAAGTAAGTGAAATAGGAAATCGAGTGCACAGATCATTCAGAGATCGGGCATATTTTTGCAATTCTCATTCATTCATTCGCGCGGAGTACCCTTTGTGTAGATGAAAGGTGACACACAGTGGAACAATGGTATATAACGGTTAAAAATCTAATACCTAACAAGTCTCATAGAATTGTCAGTAGAATTGAGTGCGTGCTGTTGAACTCAGTTTTTAGTATAATATTTCTAAGTCCACCAAGCTGGTACCTAAAAACTCAATTTTGCTTGTTCTATGTGACCTGCTCAACACAACTTATATGGAAAGGTGTAAACGGCAAAATGAGTTGCATAAACCCCTATATATATATATATATTCACAGTCTGTTAACAGACATTGTGCCATCAGAACCACGGCAGAAGAAAAAAGTGAAGAAGATGGGAACATTAATACAATTTAAAGAAATATGAGAAACGATTTTTTTGGTTTTACACACGCCATTTTGTATTTTTGTTTTGTTTTGTGAGTTTTGTGTGCATCAAAGGGATGGTGAAATTGCGGAACAACATTGCCGCCACTGATGTCTGTTGCGGGCCATGACGCCCAATGTTTCCAACCACTGCAATTCAGCATCTCGTGCTCCCCAACCTGGAAGGCGGACTGGTCCGACTGCCGCCAAACTTGAGGTCGCCTTCTTCATACTCCTTCTCCGCGTCATCGGCTGTCCACCGCGGCACTTTTTCTAAGCGCTCCCCGGGAGTGCAAATAGCACTCGACGTGGAAGGCGATGGGCTGGCATGCGCAGTACATGCCCCAGCCAGCGCACGCGATGTCGGAAAATAACGTCCTGAAGACTGGCACTATTCGCCCCAAGCATGCGGTCTCTCACCTCTGCGTTGCTTACGTGGTGTTGCCACCACACCCGAGCAATCCCTCGTAGACAGCGATTATCAAAGACTGATAGCCGCTTCATATCTTCCAAACGAATAGGCCAAGTCTCACAGCCGTACAAGAGTACTGCACGGACGGAAGCATTGCCCACCCTGCCCTTGAGCTTGAGACTGATATCATGACGACGCCATAGATGTCTCAGTTTTATGAATGCAAGGCGGGTCTTTGCAATCCGTTTGTGAGACTTCATCTCTAACACCGCCACCAGCCGTGATGCAACTCCCTAGATAAGTAAAGCAAGGGACTTGCTCCAGAACATGTCCATCAATGGTGAGCGCGGATTCAGGCACCTGCCAGTCCTGGAGCAGCGTTTTACATTTTCCAGGAGTGAAGCATAGGCCGTACTTAGACGCCTCCATCGCCGAGCGGTCCAAAGCGCTCTGGACGGATTGTGGTTCGTCCCCCGCCAAGGCGATATCATCGGCGTAGTCCAAGTCCGTGAGTCTGTCTCCAGGGAGAAGCTCAACACCGCAGTCCTGGACACCGTCCAGTGCTCTTTGGAGAACATCTTCGATGGCAAAATTGAAGAGGAAAGGTGAAATAGGGCAAACTTGGCGAATCCCTTTAAATATAATTAGTTTGGGGCACAAATAGTGCATGAGGGGTGACGTTCCACGGGTTGTACTCTCAAAGTAAGAAGATAGTTCGAAGGCATTCCAGCCGGTTATACTGCGTTACCAACTTCAGATGACAGCTTCTCAGTTTGCTTTTTTGAATTGTTTGCAGAAGGCAGTAAACCTGGTCGGGATTTGGTGAGTCATCACTAGTCCCTTCAGCCGCCCATACTGACTGTTATATATCTTGACGGGTATAATTCTAAGTTGAGGAGTTTGTGTTTGCACTAGAGACACCAAGTCGGGATGACGTATTCTAATTGAGGTCGCACATAAGTATTTAGCAATTAGAAAATGATTGATAACTTAAGCGAACCAAATGTTTTGTGCAAGAATCTAACATGTTTATTTCGGTTTTCATAGTTTTCGGATTGTTCTGAGAAACTGTGTTAGTTCTGAAACATTAGGCCGAAGTATTGTTCGCAGTAGAATTTCTGCAATATTTAATCCTCCAGTGTATATCCGTCTTCCGCTGATTACTTACATGAACCAACTTACACATATCTGCGCTATACTACAGTTGGTTCCTGGTTGACCAATCACCAAAACGATCTAGATCACGGTTTCTTTTGCTTTTAGTTACTCGCCACTAGTAGACATCATGGGTGAAAGGTAGGAAGTTAGGGGCGATAACTCTTGCAAAGTACTTGTTGAACACCACGATAATGGAACAATGGTATAATACGGAAATAAAGCCAAGGATTGACAAATCCCGTGGGATGGTTTGTGGGAATAAAGTTAGTTCAATGAAGTTAAACGAAAGAGAAGGACACGCCCTTTGACTCACCCTATTATCCACGTTACCACGTAGGTATATCTGTGTCTCCCGATTTCGTTTGGTTGGTGAGCACAGTGCTGGAATATTCCAGCAAGTGGTTCGGCTGCGATCTTAGCCGTTACTGCATTGCTTGAATGTGAATGTTTTTAGCTCTAGGGGTAAGGACGGCAGCCTTTTTAGCGCCCGTTCATCCAGTGAAAGTGAAGTTGTTGAAATCTGTTGTAGAAATGACAAAAGGTGCGAGCCTGTCATCTCTCAGAAGGTAAATGAGTATCGAACTCCTAACTAGTTTGCTGCTTCTCTCGCTTTATGTGCATGCCCAATAATCTTAGTAAGGTGCAGAATTCCGCACTGCAATTTGTGAAAGATACTGTCGGCGTAAGTAAGTCGGAGAACACATTACGAAGTGGGTTGGTGACGTTACGTGAGGTCAAAACGAAGACATGCGTTAGGCTTCAAAATGGCGACCGCATTGATTACCACACACTTACTGAGCACAGCTCCTCAAGTTGACCCAGACTTGGCATTTGTGGTTATCTACCGCAATACTACTGCCAAAATCCTCAAGTTCGCCGAGGCTGTGTCCATCAATCGCAATCGCCTTGACCTCTGTGTACCAAAGCATTTGGCTGTCACACTGAGGCTTACGTGGGGACCATGATACTTGTTTCATCAAATCTGATTATGTT